CTCCTTCACCAGTGCGGCCCCCGCGCAGGGCCTGCCCCCGCAGCTGGGCCGCAGCCGGTGAGTGCGAAGCCGGCGACCCCGGGACGGGGAAGGGGCCTGTTTCTCAGCTGCGCTGGCGGCCTGAGATGGGTTTTCTGCTGAAGGCGGGTTGTAATGTGTTTTCTCCTAGTGACGTTCCGCTTGCACGGGGTTAGAATTGTGTTGTGCGTGTTTCCCGGCCTTGAACTTGGCTGGTGGGGGCGGAAGGAACCTTCCGGAAGGAAAGAACTGCCATTCAGTTTACCAACACCTTGATAAGCTTTAAGCTCACGGACTTTTTCTTACCCTTTTTCTTTAACTTGCTCTCATATGGAATAATTTAAGGTTTTTGTGCTCACATAAGGTGTTGTTTGGCCATAGTTTGTTTGAGTATGTCACTGTGAGGCGACGTATTGACTGAAGTTGGACCGCGTGTCGCAGTGTTTGAATTTTAGCAAAAATTGGGCGTGTCCCTTTTGAAAAAAAAAGAATAACGTAAAGGAGGAAAAATTTGCACAGAATTCTGCTCGGAGAACTGCATAATTTCAGCCTTCCTTGATTTTCTTTGGAAAAAAAGGGGTCAGTTATTGTCCGAAGCTTCCCCTCCCTTCACAGCTGGGTACCTACTGCAACTGTTGCTCTTAGTGGGAAGTGAAACTTTTAAAGGGAGGAAAATACTGTTTGAAAATGTCAGCGTCACTGGAAAATACAACGAAAAGTTAAATAACCATTTGTTTTTCTTTTTCAGTATCTCTGTTCGCGGTGGGAAGAAACATAAGCTCCAAGATGAGGCAGAAGGGTAAATTAGACTTGTCTTTTATAGCCTGAAAAATCTGAATTTACTTTTTGTTTTCTGTAAAGATTTGAGCACATCTCACCTCAGCATATGCAGGAAGGGAAATTGTTTCTGTTTGGAACTCTTGCCCTGAATTGCACGTGAGCCCAAACCCGTTTCAGTTACCTAATTTATTGTGTAGCGCTGATTTTTCTTGCATGGGTACCCACGTTTTAATAAGAGCAGTGTGGATTTATTTTCTTCATGGAGGTTGTGTTTCCACAGCGTGTCGATTCTGTTGAAATGCACATGACTTCCTATAGCGGTGGTGTTTTTCCTGTAGAATGCTGCATTTCTCTTTGACAATTGTTAACTTATTTTGTTTCCTAGTTTTCCTGTGCGGAAGAAGAGACTGACAGGAGACAAAAATTGCCCTTTGAATCCCAGCACCGACGAATGGATTCTCTGTGCAGGTCAGCAGGCAGCTGGGGAGGTAGCAAGTCAGTATGGTGGCAGCGAACCTGAAACTGCCATGTTAGAAATTCCCTCTGAAGAAATGGATCAGACAATGGGGGAACAGCAGTGCGAGGTTGCTCGCAGGAAGCTTCAGGAAATTGAGGACAGGTAAATGCAGGGATTGAGTAGACTGGCTTTGCTGAGCTTTCCCTTTTTTTGGTGGGCATTAAGGGGTAAATCTGGCATTTAGCAGGGTGGTAACACTATTTCTGACTACCAATGGCCCCTATGAGTCTTGGGGCTGATACTGTGATCTGAAATTGAGGGTGCTAGAGCAAGAGATGCTGAATAAATAACCCCCTTTTCACAGCCGTTACGCAGCATCTGTAGACCATAATAGGCTTTTATGCTCTTGTGAGTATCCAGGGCTCAAATTTTAACTGATGTTATCTGGTCAAACTTGAGCTCAGCTTTTTTTAACCAACTGCAGCATGTTTTGTGACGTGATACTTCTGGATGCTCAAGACAGATATGGATTTGCCAGTGTAGAGAATAGCACGAACCAGAGAGATCTCTGCACACAGGCAATAAAACTGAGGTTCACCTTGCTGTTAAATACCATGTGGCTTGATACTGGGGCAGTGGGGTGGCTGTGGGCAGTATATTGCATTACTTAATGAATGTACTGTGCGTTCTTGCCTTTGAAAGATTTCTGGGAATGTCACGTGTGTGTATGAGCTGATTGCAGTTGAGCTAGTATTCTGAAATTTCTAAGATGACCACTGCAGACAGTTACTACAAAAGCCAAAGTTATATCATTTATAAAACAAGATTTTTTTTTAGATGATTACTCCATAGATGGTGCGTGAAGGGAAGCAAGGTACTGTTAGATTATTTTATTTTTTCCATGGGTAAATCAGAGTAGTGATGTGTGTCATTATGTGGCTATATCTCCATTACAAAGTGTGCTTTGAACCTCTCAGACGATTGTTCCCCATCCTTCCTAGCTACTCTGCTGAGTTTTCTTTCAAAGGTTTACCAAAACCAAAGGAGATAGCACCGATGCATTCTAAATGCTTCAACTTTTCGTACTGTTTTCATCTCTGAGAAATCGGTGCAACGTCATTAAAGGTTAAGAACCATATTCAGTAGCTTTTCAACAACTCTTCAAGTTAAGATACGGGGAGTTGAGCAGGCAGAGCTGCTGCCTAGCTGAGGCTCACTCTTGTAATGTGACTGAATCATAGTTTCCCCTGAAGTGATGTATTTCTTAGTGGATGTCTGCGCTGTGCGCCGTTGGTCGGTGCGGGGATGACAAAGCTAGCTCAGGTACCAGAAGTGGCATAGCTGCTCAAGTGGTTTCTATGGCAGCAGTCGTTCTTAGGGTATATTGGCCCAAGAGAGGCTGGTGTTTGGCCCCGCTGCTTCTGGTACCCAGCCTCAGTCCGGTATCTACACCGTACAGTGCAGTGCACGAAGATGTAACTGTAGTCTGCAGTTGATGTGCCTGTTAACAGTATGCTCAATAGTGTTTATCTCCCTCTTCCCCCTCCATTCCTAGGATAATTGATGAAGATGAGGAAGTTCATGCTGATGGAAATGTTAGCAATCTGCCCACTCTTATCCTGTCAGATACCCTTAAAAAAGGGATGAAGAGGGATTTTGGTGAAGTCCTGACAAAGAAAATAATAGAATCTATGTAAGTTCTGGAGGAAATCATGGTGCAATGTAGCTGAGACATGCAAATGAAAAGAGAGACCCAGTCTCATGTTTGTGGAGGTGTCCTTAATTACTGCATGATGCAGCCAACGTTGTATCCCAGACCATCCATCTGGTCAAAACCAGGAAAATCTATCCTCATGTAAAAGAGAAATAAGTGTAACTACGGTGGTCATCGAGCTGTCTGTTTTGTGCTCCTCACTTGTACAGTGTGAAATTTGGTGAAGAAACCATTGTGTCTTGGTCTTTATGCATGTGAGATTCCAAAAGAAGGTGGTCCTGAAGTGTGACCTGTGATGACAGTGGTCATCAGGTTTGGTGCAGAAGAAAATACAGAGTTAGAACTAGAAGTAATGGAATGAGTTAAGGAAGAGGAAATTGAATAGGAGAGGGGGAAAAAAGAAAGGTATTATGGATACTGGAATATAGTTCCAGGCTTGCACAAAGGGTGAAAATACTCACTCTTCTGCATTTAATAGTTGTGATTGGAGAACTTAAATTTAACTGAAACTCCATCCCTTCCAGGAGCCGTCCTTCTATGGAGCTGGTGCTTTGGAAACCTCTTCCTGAATTTCTCACAGATAAACTGAAGTCTGTTTCTGGAAAGAACTTCCAGCAGCAGAGTACAGAAGGGTGTCAAGCCAAGCAGTCAACGCCAAGAGCTGCTTTTGACCCACAGACTGAAACATTCCCTGAATCACAACAGACTGGCATGTCTCCAGATCCCTATGCTAGTTTGGGAATCTCTGGCTGTACAGAAGAAGAAATGGAGCTGTAGATTTTAGACTGGACATGGTGAGCTTCTGATGGGTTTTGTTGCTGGTTTTGATTCCCTCTTTCTTTCTGGTTTGATGTGTGAATCTGAAGTTTTATTATTTGTTTTTGGTTTTCCTACTAACAGTCATAAGAATGTGGGTTGGCCAGACACAGCTTAAGGAAACTGAACCCAAGGTTTCTCTACTCTGGTCTGTTAACTATTCTTGGTTTTATTGAGAAGGTAATTCAGGGGCCTTTGGAACAAGGAGTTAGCTTTCCATCTCGCTTAATGGTGAGACATCCTCTTAATTGTCCTTGGTCAAGTATAAAATCCAAATACTGAATGTAACTTGGCTGAAGCCGCATCCTTCACGTACGGAGCCGTTAAGACTTCGGTGCACATACTATGCTTGCTCAGTTCGTTTAATTTCAATTACAAAAGGGTATGGAAAGGAAGAAATACTTCAGTCTAGTCACAGATGGAGAAGCAATCTGTATGGAAATGCAGCTTTTCACACTATTGCATCTGTGGCTGGTTTGTTCTTGATGTACACTGGAATATAGAAATCACACATTCTGCAGTGTGTAGGGAGGAATGTTGTAGCTACACATAAGCCTCATGCTTTGGAGAAGCAGCAAGATACCTACTAACCTCAGTCATTGTTGGTTCATTGGCTCCTACGTTGTGTTTGTGGGTTTTTGATGCCCCTTCCCCAAAGGATGCAAAGTCTGAAGAAAAGTGTTTTCCAGCCAAAGGATTTGCATTTTACACTGTGCTGGGAGTCTCCATATCTGTCGGGTTGGAGAGTCAGTTGAAGACAGTGTAACTTTTGGCTAAATAAATGGCATCCCTTAATGTTGATAAACGTGGTGAGTGACTCAGATAACAGGGAGCTGCTTTCTGGCGTAAAGAGGGTCAAATGCTCGTTACCGTCTGTAACCAAATCTGAGACTGCTGGCATTGGTGGTGAAGTAAAAAAGCTCCTTGTCTTCTTCCTGAGGGAATCTAGACTTAAACGTTAAGCCAGAACATATGCCATTAATGTAACGTCACGTAGTTCGTACAGATGTGTGCCAAAAGGATTTTGTACCTCGCTTGGGGTGTTAAGAAAAGGAATCCTCGGTGAGTTACTGCTTGTACCTTCCTCAACGCACAACAGCTCCATTATGCTTAAAACCCTTAAACAAGGCAGAGAATCTTAGCTGCTGTTCTTAAGTCCTTGAGCTTTCTCAGAGATACCCGAATGGAGGCTTTTCGTAAGCAATCCCAAGTTACAGGTTCTGTTCAGTCTCGGCATCCCAGTCTGGTTTTGCCGTCTTGCTACCGTAGAGGAGCAGGTACGCAGTGATGCAGCTGTTTGCCTAAGAAAATCTACTCTTCCTTTGCGCAGCTAATTGATAATCTTTATGGTGATTTGTTTTTACTGTTGAATAACTCATAGTCGATAGTTTAAAATCAAGCTTCTCTTTTTTGCAGTCGCGCTTTCCTTTCTTCTGGCTGACAGCAGAAGCTTTGTTCAAAAGATGCCCCTGTTTGTTAAATCCTGTCTATCTTGCTGCTCTTGTCGAAGGTTGCGTGAAATTTGCTCTCTGCTGGTAAAACATTTCAGAACTTCACAAAAAACATCCCAACATTTGAATTGGTATTACTCCGGAAATTGGTGTGTAACTTTACCATTCCGGAACCTTTATTAAAATGGAGAACGTGCGCAGCTTTATCTGGCTGTTCTGTCTAACTTCATTTCAGGGACTTCTGTAAAGCTCTTGCATGTAGTGTGTCAGATTTCTCATGTATTAAGGTGCTGAACACGCTTAAAAACTACAGCGTTTGGCACTCTGTGTTGCTTGAGTGTAAAGTGAAGCCGTGCAGCTTGGAGAAGGCGGTAGGCACGGCAGGTGGAAAATGTGGTGCCTCCATGTAATGGTCTGTTTTAAGCTTGCAGCATTGTAGTGAAAGTTCAAGGTTGGAACTGGTTTAGCTGATAGCTCTGAATCCCAAAAATTCCAAACTTTGAAACCAGCTCAGCAAAATTGCGACAGGGTGTAGAAAACCATGGGAGGCCTAAATACATCAAATCTGGATGCAGGTTTTTAGCTCTTAAAAATGGCAAATTGCATACCAAATTTGCAGAAGGAGATGTTTGTGGCTGGCTTTTAAGCATACCTTTATTCCTGTCATCTGTGTACCAAAGGCTGACTTTCAGAGGTGCATTTCCTCTGAGCTGTTTGATGATAAGACAGCATTGCTGACCCACTGTTCCGCCATCGGAAACACGAGTGTCGCGGTGGAGTGTTGACAAAGACCACAGGGTGGGAAAAAGATGTGTCCAAGAAATTTGCTTTAGTAAAAAACATTTAAGTTTTTCATAATCCATTTTTGCTCTTGTAGGGGAGAATAGGGTTGAACCCCTGAAGTTGATAGAGGAGGGGAAGAGGGGGGTAGAGCAGGAATCAAGATTCTTGCTGTAGCAATGACATGGAGAGGGTAAGGGAGAACAAGCTACTGGGTGTTTTTTCCAACTTCTGTAACAGTTTCATTTGTTGTTGGCTTCCTTAAGACTTTTGATTAATGCTGTTTACAAACGGGATGGCAAATGTGATGCAGTATTAGGAAGAACTTTATTTTGAATATGGAAGATGTGATTCTGGTCTGTCTTCTCTTGGGACCAAATCACCCTTTGTATGTCAGTTTTCAATAAATTTTCTAAAATGTTTTTTAGATGGCTGTGCTTCATTCCTAGTAAAAGTGAAAACCTTGAGAGTGTATGTCCAGTCCTTCACCTGGAGGGTGAAATACTCTTATTGAACTACGTTGTCCCAAGGGCATGTGACTTCTCCACGGTGGTGTCCCACAGTGCAGGGGTGGACAATGGCAGGGCCGAATAAACCTGAAGCTGCCAGAAATGAAGAGTCATGAGCTGAGGGCCTCTAACAGAGCAGAGGGTTACCAAAAGGTGTTGCCATAGCTTGTTTTAAGGCCTTTCATTTCACTTCGGACTAAAATTACGAACGCCTAGCTTGCTTAGCTCTGTGTAAAACTCACGAAGTGCCTGATGAGAGTTTTAAAACAAGTTGAAATTTTAATTTTTTGATTGGAATGTAACACTTGTTGCTCTTTTGTTTAACAGCTTCTGTTCAACAATTTTTTCTGGCAGTTGAAGGGTACTGATAGGTGTGCTAGACCACTGTTATGTTTGCTTTCAAAATGAGGGAAAAAAAAGCACCTCAGATCTATAGTGCAAAACAATAATAAACCCCCCTGGTTTCTAAGTGAGTCAGTGTTTGACTTGGCCGAAGTTGTACTGTGGATTCAGCCAAGACTGATGCAGAGCAGGAGCGAAGTAATGCCCAACCCATTTAGGATTGTGTAAGGCTGCCCTGGCTGGTGAGTCTCCCTGGGGATGTGGCTGGAAGCTGTAGAGGGGAGGAGTACCTCTGCTCCTGAGCCAGCCCTGCGGAGAGGCACAGACTTGTGTCGTGTAGCAGCTGCATGGCTTCCCTCACAGAAGATTTATTTAATCAAATGCGGGCATAACCTACACATGAACCACAGGGTCTAAGTCCATCCTTGTTGTGAGGCAAGCGGGACTCCAAAACAGAAGTTAAAACCATCAGATCATCCTAAGGAAGCACTCTGGGCACGTGTTGCTGCTGCCCCAGCTTTACGTTTAGTTCAACTTGGTGCCTCTCACCTACAGGGAGATCTCAGATAAAGATCCCACTGACAGCTTAAATTCCCACACTTTGATCTGTGGACATTGAGGTACTCTATCAATATACATACAGAGGAGACCCCACCCCCCCATTCTGCCTTGGCAGCACCTAACTGGGTTTGATTCTAGTAAATATTAGCGCTAATAGGAATTGTGATGCTGCTCAGCTTCCAGATGCCCAACAAGAACTATTTGTGTCCTTTTAGTGGAAGAGAGCTCAATAAATATTAGCAGCTTGTCCTGGAACCTAATGCTGCCATTAAATCAGGGTGAATCATGCCAAGAAATACCACTAGCTGTGAAGTTCAGAAAGGGAAGGAAAACAGTGTAAACATTACTGCATTCAACATCTTTGGCTACAGTGCTTAAGGTTTGTGAACCTATTAAAGAGTCCATTTCCAAATATGATAGGAATGTGACCGTAACACTCCTCCCTGAAGTTTTTAGGTATTAAAAATCTGTGGCTCATTGAGACACCAGCTGTGTTTGGCTCCAAGTTGCACAAGTCACAGGGTGGCAGTGCTGCTGGCACTGAACAGAGCCAGTCCCATCCATTACTACGTCAAGTCTTCTATTGCACCACCGTTCAGAAAGCAGATGTCTGAGAACAGGGAAAACCACCACAAGCGCAGCGTGATGGGCTGCACATCTTGGCTGTGCTAATTTTAACCTTCCTGTAGCCCCGAGGAAAGGATGAGAAGTATCCATCCTTTGCAGGTGCTACTTTGAGCTGCTACATACTTACCCCTGTAACCTGTGTCCAACTGCAACTCCAAATGTAGAGCCAAGTTGTAAAGAAATTAAATTCCTCCCTTACATCTTCTGATGAAATTAAGTTCACTTTTGAATTTCAGAAGGAGTTCCAATAATACTGAGGAAAATTAAGGCAAAACTATGGATCAAATTCTCACTTTTGGTCTCACAACATGTGAGGGTTGTACTAAGGCTCCTCTTGCAGTCATCCCCATTTTCCAGCTTCAAAGTAAAGCAACTTACACCAAGACTACTTAAAGTCCATTTTACCATCTGTGTTCCTGCTGTACCGCACAGCCGTAGCTTTTGCTGCTGGCCAGTATTCAGACAGAATGCTTTATCACAAGCTAAGTTACTCAAGTTTGTAATCCAAGCAGTTCTGTCCCCTCAAGTGCTAGTGACCAATTCCCCCATCCCATCCCCCACGTCCAGTTATTTTTGTCACAATCTAATGCAAGACACAAAACAGCACAGAAACCAAGAACAGCTGTGCCAGCACCTGGAGCAGCTCTCAGCACAAGATTTCAGTTTCTTCTCAGTCACTCCAAGTGTTTTTAACACTGCAATGCTGGAACATTGTGGATGAGGACAGAAAAGTCCTACTGAGTTATATGAAATTGGCTCCTGCAAAGTCTATTTTATGCTTCAAGAATCCCTGTGGTAACAGAATCTGCACCTTCCCCCCCGTACACCTCACTGCTTCACCAACACTAGACG